AATGGCATGATTTACAAGAGTGAACCAAAATCTGCGGCCCCTGCGGTTGCAATCCTACAAAAATGCTGGCAAACATGGAGGCAGCGGCTGAGAAAAACACAATGCCGTTTATTTCGTCATGGCTTCACGACATGGTACCCATGCGTTTCTTCAGACTTGCTATTCACAGGGGTTTGCAGATACCCACAAATCGCAGTTTCAGCGGGGGAAACCACCCTCTCCACCCGCCTGGTGTAAGAGGGATACTACTGGAATGGTAGGTATTTCGAAGGTTCCGTCGATATAGGCGCCACGTTCGACGTCAAAACAGGCGCATTCCGTGTAGGTGGATCTGATCTGATGATCAATATACAACGTTTGCGCATCAATACGTTCAGAGCATGTTGTCTCAACCTCACGGCCGCAGTGACAGGTGCCCGCAGCTGTGCCCATGGCTGGTTTTGAACATAAAAGAAGGGGAAGTCAGAACTGCATCACAATCCGAAGCCTCAGAGCTGGCTGTGCAACGGGATGGATGTGACATGTGACATGATTTCTATGGTTCTGGTTCCCTTCCGAAAAAATGTCCTGCGAGCCAATGAAAAGTGAGATGATCCGGGCATGGCAGCTGTGTGCAGCACAACCATACCAACATGTTCCAACATGTCCCTAAACTTGAAATGACGGACTCATGATTTTTTTCATCTCAAATGATGAAGGTGCAACCACGGCCGGGCCCTGAAATGCTGCTCACTTGACCGGTTGGAGAATCATCCTAGCAGCATGCCAAAATCTCAGCTGTGTCAAAATGATGAATTACGGGATATTAACGTGGGGGTTCCGGTCAACCAATGTTACCCTCTGGTAAACTAACTAACAATCTAACATTGCTGCGGGACCAATTCTGTTTGGGCCAGTCCTCGATGGTCATGGTGGAAAGCCCGCGGCCTCTGATTCCGCTGGCACAAAGCCTGCAGTTGTTGGCAGGGGCGATCATTGGGTTGTAACATGTTGCAACCACAAGGGATTTGGGATGATTGGGATGGGGATCTGAATATCTCTTCATATCCAATGAGTCTAATCTAACCCACCCGTATTTTGATGGCTCAAAACCCTCCCGCAAGCCTTTCCACGGCAACTCTCACAGCCACACGCCCCAGCCATCTGTTTGTAAGGGCGTTCAAGCCTGCCGTTTGCCCGCCCTCAAGCCCTCCAAACCCTCCAAACCCTCCCGCAGGCCTTTTCGCGGCAACTCTCGCAGCCACGCCCCAGCCATCTGTTTTTAAGGGCGTTCAAGCCTGCCGTTTGCTCGCCCTCAAACCCTCCAAACCCTCCCGCAGGCCTTTCCACGGCAACTCTCGCAGCTACACGCCGCAGGCATCTATTTTTAAGAGCGTTCTAGGCTGCCGTTTGCCCGCCCTCTAACCCTCCAACCCTCCCGCAGGCCTTTCCACGGCAACTCTCGCAGCTACACGCCCCAGCCATCTGTTTTTAAGGGCGTTCAAGCCTGCCGTTTGCCCGCCCTCAAACCCAATATGTGATAGCATACATCGTGTACCAATATGTGATAGCATACATTTATATATGCATTTTTTGTGCAAAGAGATGGGTTTCAAACACCAAAACCATCCAAAACCTTTATTTCTTGGGCACATAATGGCTGTCCCTTGAAGCATCAACGAAATGGTGAATCCCCCAGTCATTACCATCTTTATAGGTGGTATTGTGACCATTCCCAGTCATGGGTGGTTTATTATCATTGTTTTACCAACATTAAAATATACATGCGCTTCCCCCCCTCCACCCTTAAAGGGGGTCGGCGGCACCGGGGCGTTAGCCCATTTATTTATGACAAATTCTGAAGATTATTACCATGGTTACACCCATCAAAATCACAACAACTGCGCCCCCCTTGGATCTTCAGCCTCGCTGGGAGCTCCAATGACTCATTCTCGGAGTTTCCGAAGTCTCGCCTGCATTGCTGAGCTCTGCTCTGCTGTGCTCTGCTCTACTCTTCTCTTCTCCACTCTACTCTGCTCAGCCCACTGGATTTAAGACTTCCTTACTGCAAACAGCCAGCTCGACTTAAGAGTTCTGGGGCAGCTGCTAATTCACTTCGTCCGTAACTCGGAGTTTCTCCACGAAACTTTCTTTGACATCTTTGACTATTGCTCATCGCAAACACGGACAGTGGTCGAATCTGCAACCATGTCTTCTAAACACCAGGCTGGCCTCAAGGTCATCGATGGGCGTGGCCTGGCAGTGTCAACGTGCCGAAAATTGTGTTGTACCCCAAATTGGCAAATTTACTACAGGGACACTTGATGATTAACCAGAGGATTTTGGGGTACTCTCTTTTCAAACAAACCCACATTCCAATACATTCCATGGTTTAAACGGCTGAAGACTTGTAACTGCTACCAGGTGTGCAGTTAACCATGCCACACCACAACTGGCATCATGGCCTGTTCCTCAGGGGGTGACAAACGCTTCACATCACCCTCCAACTCAGCCTTGGGGCACCGGCTGTCATGGCAGTTTGCCAGAGTTGACGGTCGCTACGGTCGTTGCAACATGTTGAAACATACAGTATTATGCTACTTGGCAAAAACCTTTCCAGATGGCATGCGGTTTTCTCCACACTTGGGTGGTAACATCGCATTTCTGGACCATTGATTCCACCCTCCCTGTTTGAGCCACCCACAATGCGCTTTCCAACCATCTCCTGTGTCTGCGAAGAAACATCTGCCGCCAGATGGGGCAACCTGTGGCCACCTCTCTGACATGTCGCTGCGCTCCCTACCTTGATCTGCGCATTGTTCTTGCAGCGATCATCGAAGTTGTACCTGAAACCCGTGGCCTGCGCCGGAAGGTTTTTTTCACACCTATTCAAGTTCCTGAAAAAAATATGTGCTGCAGAATCAAAGAAACCTGCGATGATTTATCTTATTTAGAAAACAAACCTGCAACTGCAAGATGATTTCCAGGACATCATCACTTTCTCTGGACATCTTAATGTGATGTTTATCAACTGCTGATGCCCAGGACATCTGCAACTGGTGCATCCACTGGCGCACACGAGTTTCTGCACTGCGATTGCTCTATGAAAACCTTCCAAGGCCTGTCGCAGTTTCTGATGCGCAATCCCAAGTCCTCGAAGTTGCAAAATCCTGGAGGTAAATCTTGCTATAGTAATTATATTATATATATATCTTGCGAACTCCAGCTGAAAAGATCCAGAAAGTCCAAGAGTCCAAGATGGAAAATTTACCACCTTGATGCAGATTTTATGGTCGATTTTACTGTGTAGAGGATAGGGCTGATAGGGTCCTCTGCTAGTCACGTCAGGGTACCCAGGTGATCTCACACGTCCCTTTTTTTTCGTGCCTCCTCAGCCTGTCCCGCAGCCTCCAGCTCTCGTGCCTGCCCATTTTCCACAGATCAGTTGCAGCTTGTTTCAACATGGAAACACATTGGAAGTGTTGACCACTATGAACTACCAGTAACTACCATAAAATTCTCATAATTTCTCCATCCCCATTTTGGGCATCACCAGCCATTGAATCATTGTAGGGCTTCTTCATCTGTCTACTCGTTTGGGCCTCAGTTCTTGTACATCCAATTGATCATGATTTATGTTTATTTTAATATGGTGCTCTTAAATCCAACAGTTAAAAATCATTTTCCCGCGTTCTTTATAGCCATTTCCCGGTGTTACCCCTTTTCAAACTGCCGCAACTCCGTGGTTTTTCATTGAAAAAAATGTTAGATATTGTTAAATCACCATCCATTCCCAATTTGTCGCGGTTAGATTACCACTTTTTGCGGCCAAAACCGGTCACCCCATGTTCAGTCGCCATCCGCTGCAGCGGCTGCACCTCCTTCTCCATGGCCACACCAATCTTCATGCGGTCCTCACCAGCACCTTCTGCACTGATATGACAAGTGAAATGTACACATATATAAATATACCGACACTCTTACTTACTTAGATCAATTTAGCGAAACTTGGATGAACTTATATAGTATCTGAAAAAAAGTGGCTGGTCCGAAATGACTTGACCCGGGACTGTGCAAGAGATTCAAAAGTCGTGTTGAGGTGCGGGGGTACATAATTTGTAATAGTTCACATCGTACGATGAAGTGTCTTCTTGTGTCTTGTGGCTAATGAAAAATATGAGGAAAGAGGTCGTCCTTGCGTCTTGTGGAGAACGTGGCTAGACAGGAAAAGGAAAGAAAAAGGAAGACAGGAAAAGTAAGAGAGAAAAGGAAAGGAAAAGAAAGGGAGGAATATGAGAGGAAAAGGAAAGAGATAGGAAGAGGAAAGGAAAAGGAAAGAAAGAGGAAAGGAAGAGAGGTACTCCAGAATACAAGTATATTGTCTTAAAATCATATACAATACACTACGTGTGGGACCTATGATGGTATCTCTGATTCCTGACATTCTGTGTATATTTATATTTATCTGTATATATATATATTGTTCTATATATATATAGTATATATATATATATTATATTATATATATTTGTCTTTAGCGTGCTTGTCATGGCATAAAGATGCAGTGAAATACGATTTGGGTCTGCAGTCAACTGAGCTGTAGGCCTAGGTTCAGCTCGATCCAAGAGGCTTTCCTTCAAAGCTCCCAAGTTGAAAAGGGGTAATGGTCCAGCGGTACTCTGAGATGCACTGGGTACTCAAAGTTGGGCAATCTTTCCACCAGGATCCACCAGGTATGGTGTCTATGCTGAATTTAGAATCACTCCGAGATATTGGGACAAGGTTTCAGGTGCCATGATTTGGCCTCAAAATGGTCATTGTCAATACAGTAGTATGGTCCACTTTCCGGCCATAATTGTTTGAGGTATAGGGATTTGATTAGACCCAAACGACATCAAGTGCACCCTTTGGATTCCGGCCAGTGCCTTGTTGGCATGGGTCGGAATTGGGACCCCAAAACATTGGATCATGGAATGGCAGCATCTGCAGTTTGAAGAATGCACAAAATAAGCACCTGTTTTCCATCAGGAGAAGAGAGCAGGTGGGCTGCTAAGAAATAATTTGCACCAGTAGCCCGTCCAAATCTGCTCAATCCAACATTCATCTCGCAGCTGAAGCGAAACCGTGATAAGATCAGAGGAGCACATTACCAAAGATTTCCATGCTGTTGCGGGTCTGCGTTCAAGCTCAAGATAGCGTAAGCGTTGTGGTGGGTATCATTGCAGCCAACCATTCGTGTAGGTCCTCCAGCCGTTGTCCAATTTTGATTGCTTTGTTTCAGAATGCAACTAGCAAGATGTAGCAAGGTGGTTCATGATGTTGTGATGCCCAGCCGTCGTAGCACTGTCATCACTTTCTGCAATGGCACAGGGATCTGCACATGTTTGGAAGTAGCCATGTGAACGCAACGATCTAAGGCTATGCCAAGGAATTCAGTTTTCAGCCACAAGTGACGCCAACAAGCTACCGTGACATGCCGTGACATGCCGCGCAAAGTATTCCGCTTTCTCCCAATGCAGGAGTCGCAAGGGTTTTGCCAATTCAGGTCACTGGAGTTCGCTGTCCTGTCCTATCGGATTTTCCCACTGCTTCGCAAATGGTAATGAAAATAATGAAATGTGTATCCAATGCATCCATGATGCAAATGGGATCGATAAAAAAGAACCGCGCAACACCGCGCAACTCTTTTCTTCACTGAGCTGGAAAAAACACCGCAACCACTGCGGTCCAACGATGTTGCACACGCCTGTGAGTCCTTTCGTCTTCTGGTATAAGTGCATCAGCTTACCGGTGTCGACAACGCAGGCCAGTAACTTGAGTTCAAAATGCAAAATCGATTGCGCAAACCAACGTGTTCTTGAGGAGCGATGGAAACACAAACACACCACCTCTGGCCCCGCTTGTGCTTCTCGTGCCAGCTCTGGCTCTGGCTCTGGCTTCTCCATTGCCACTTCACAATACTTCAGACCGAACGATTCCTGGCATTTGGGTCCATGGCACGTCAAACTGACATTCTGACCCAGCTCTACCTCCAGTTGACATGGACAAAGGACTTTCAATTCAGCAAAGCCAGCACAGAGGCGTCTTTCACTTCCAGGAGAGCAGAACTACAAGTCTGCACTTCGTCGCTTCACCGCAAAATTAGGCAAAACAAATGAGGAATCCCGCAGAATCAAGTCCAGCTGCTGAAACTTCCCGTTTGCTGACTCCTTGCTTTACACCTCTACAAATCTGTGGAAAGTTGTCCGCCCAGGGCATGGACATCGTTCAACTTGACCACTTCTGCGATCAGCGCCACCAAAATCCTGCGTTCAGCGTGCTTGGAACGATCATGCTCCACCAGGATGGGCATCAGCCACTGGCCATGGCAGCTGCCATAGAGCAGCACGGAGTTTCCCCGTTGAAGCGCGAACTCAGTTCCATCAGTCACCTCTGGCAACGCCAGGCAATGCTTGGGTTTGGGGTCTAGTAGAATGTGTGTTGTACAAGTTGTAAAGATCAACTAACGGTTCAAAGAATTGTGAGCAGTGGACTTTGACATTTATAGCAACTAAAAACAACATAAGACTTGAGGCCCCAGGGGTGGGGGGGGCGAACGAAAGGTAAAGGTCATCTGAATGTGGAAATAGGTGAGCGGAACTTGGAAACATGCAAGGAAGTGCAGACGCTACGCATCCACAGAGCAGGAGTCAAGATGGCTGCAAAGAATTGTGTAATGTCCAGCTTTCAACCGTAGAACATGTGAAGCAAAGAACATAGTTACTGAAAAAAGTTGGGGCCTGTTCCAGAAGTGTAATTGTTGATGGGTTGGAATCCTCAAATCTTGATCCGAATCACAAAGAACTCTCTTGGGCCCACTGCCAAATTGTTAGAGGCTCTGGCGAGCTTGGAAAATCTCAACCAAAGAAAATTGGTACGCGACAAAGTTTGGGCCCCATCCAAGTTATAATTTTGATGGGGCTCAAATCTACACAGTGTTGACCTGAGTCAGAAAGAACTCTATCGAGCCTAATGTTCTGGTGAGGCATCTTGCGCAAGCGTTCCATCCGAACAACATGCAATCTTCCGTTGCAAGTCGTGAAACATCTGAACCAACGAAGAAGGTGACTCTTTAAAGTTTGGGCCCTATCCAAACTTGCAATTTTTGATGGGGCTCAAACCAAACAGCGTTGACCTTAGTCAGAAAGAACTCTATCAGGCCTAAGGTTCTGGTGAGGCATCTTGCGCAAGAGTTCCATCCGAACAACATGTAATCTTCCGTCGTAAGTCGTAAAAGATGTGAACATTCTCAACCAAAGAAGATGGTGACTCTATAAAGTTTGGGCCGCATCATGCCGCATCCAAGTTATAATTTTTGATGGGGCTCAAATCTACACAGTGTTGACCTGAGTCAGAAAGAACTCTATCGAGCCTAATGTTCTGGTGAGGCATCTTGCGCAAGCGTTCCATCCGAACAACATGTAATCTTCCGTTGCGAGCTGCAAAACACCTGAACCAACGAAGATGGCGACTCTATAAAGTTTGGGCCCCATCCAAAATTGTAATTCTTTATGGGGCTCAAATCTGCGCAGTGTTGACCTGAGTCAGAAAGAACTCTATCGAGCCCAAGGTTCTGGTGAGGCATCTTGCGCAAGAGTTCCATCCGAACAACATGTAATCTTCTGTTGCAAGCCGCAAAGCATCGGAACCAAAGAAGATGGTGGCTCTATAAAGTTTGGGTCTCATGAGATAGGATGCCTGTCCAGATCTCTTTTTTCACCACCTTGTTTTTGTTGCTGAGCAGCTGCGGCACGTTTCGGCTGGCATCAACTGGACAGCACATAAACTCAACAAATCCTGAGCTAAAGAGTTTCAGAGGGACGGCCCTGGCAGGATTTGAGCCCGTGACCATCTGCTTCCGAGACTGCTTCAAAATGCCCCGGGAGCTTGGCGGAGGAGTGAAAAATAATTGTGTTGGACTCAGACCTGCCCCTCCCCTTGCTGAAGCAAGAGTAACTCCGCTGGGCAGGCTTTCTTAGCCACGTAATTATTCCAGGATCTTTTAGCCACATCTTTTAAATTAGCCACGAAAACAAACTTAGCTGCGTAAGAGTGTTAACCACGTACTGTGGCGTAATGGATCTATTTTGTATTATTTATTTATTTATGTATGTTGTTTTATTATTTTGATTAGTTTTTATCCCTATTTTTATCTTTTTTATACTTTTTTACTTTGACTATTTTTCCCTATTTTTAGATTGTTTATATGTTTTTTATTTTTGACTATTTTTCTCTATTTACATCTTTTTATATGGGTATATACAATTTTATGATTTCTCGAAACAATTTGATGATTTCTCGGTACAATTTGATGCTTTCTCGGTACAATTTGATGTTTTTTCTATACATATCATGATTTCTCGGTACGGTTCTATGGTACAATTTGGTTTTATGGTACAATTGTACTGAGTAATCATTAAAAAGCAATGAAAAACCATCAAATTGAACCGAGATACGATATCTTTTGTATCGAGAAAGCATCTAATTGTGCCGAGACATCATCTCGGTATATTACATACAATTTCTCGGTACCAAGAAACCACCAAATCGTACCATGAAATCATCAAATGGTTCCGAGGAATCAAAGCCCTTCCAATTATTTCGGTACATCTTAAAATTGGCTTCCTTTTTCTTGCTTGAAAAAAATAATGAATTACAACAGAAAAAGTTTTGTTTTCAAGGAATATGAATATGTAAATTAAATTGATTTTCAAGGCTAAGATGTTGATTGTTCGTGGCTAAACTTATTTACGTGGCTTAAAAAAACTTTTCAGGGCTAAAGATTTTATCTTTTCGCGGCTCAAAATCGGTCCCAACTCAGCTACCGCTAGCTTTCGTGATAACCTCAAAAATCATCTGCTACCCATCTGCTACCCCTGTTCCAAATCCAAATCCTCACCTCCACCAGCAGTTGTGCAGCACGCCACGCCAGCACCACTTGAGCCTCTGGCTCCCATGACACGGTGGATTCACCGTGCACCTCCCGAGCACAGCTCCTGGCCACGCAGAGCCAGGGCAGCCCCAACCGAGCCAGGCGCAAGGTCACTAGGGAGGAGTGCAGAAGTTTGGAGGTGCCAAGGTTGAAGAAACCTGACAGGTTTGCACAAAATGGAAATCACTTGAAACTTGAAAACTATTCTTTAAAAAACTAAAATCATTGCCACGGATACTGCTTGAGAAATCATGACAAATCTCTTTCAGGTCCATTAATTCATCAATATTGAGCTTGAGCATCAATGAATCAAGTTAAGGGGATACCGGATACCCCAAAAAAAGCAGGACAGAAGCTTCCTACAAGCTGCCCCGCAACAAAAAAACTCCCCGACGTCTGATTCACAAAACCTTGAGTGATCATGGCATTTGTTCTACAGGAAGGAACAATCAAGTTGGATAAAAGACAATAAAGTCATATAAAGTCAATAAATTAGCACTTCGCGTTCGTAATTATTACGAATTTACGAAAGTTTCAGCATGTTCGAGCAGAGCCCAGAAGCTCTCCAAGCGAAGCGACTCCAAATCTGCCTCTCCAGTTTTAGACCTCATCGCTGGCAAAATCCCCTGCAGTCCTTGCAATCTTGTCAAAACTGGCCGCATTTGGTCCTGGAGGGCCATCACACTTCCTTCTCCGAGCGAATCATGAGATTCCAGCAGTTCTAAAGCCTCGATGGCTGAGTTCACCAACACCAGGGAGGAGAAAGTTTTTCGACTTTCAGATCTTTCAGATCTTTCAGCTGGAGTTCTGAGGGAAGGAAGGACTTCATCTATCAATCTCTGCAGGCGATTGAACAATCCTCGACTTTGGAGACAACAAGCAGCGGCGGCTGCCGCAGCCACCTGCCTGAGACTGATCAAGTTGGGTGCAGGGCCGACCTTCAACATCTGATCCAGAAGGGATAAGGCTTCTTGCCAATTGGATCCATCTGCATAGGACGACAATTGGATGTTGCAAATGATGAGATTTTTCACCAAGCGTCTCTGCTCCATCTCCGCCAGAAGCTTCAGGGCAGCTTCGGAGGACCCCAGGCGGCTTGCAGCACAAGCTGCTCCATACGCAACTTCATTGGGCTGCACCCATCTGCGTTGCAGTTCCCTCCAGAGATCCATGGATTCCTCCCAATGCTCCGTTCTGCTGCAGGCACTGACCCCAGTGGAACAGCTGAAGACATCTGGCTGGCACATTTTGCATCCCATTCCTGCCATCAGAGACAAGACTCGATCCCAGTGTAGCCCATGCTCACACGCCTTGGCCACCGAATTGATTTGGGTCAGCCCATCCACATCTACCACACCTGCCAGGGATCCCAGGGATCCCAGGGCCACCAGCCACTGGTGCCCCCGGCTGCAGGCGGACACCGCCGCGTTGACTGCGATGCCACTCAGCTGGATGTTCCAGTGACCTGCCGTTCCCAGCAGTTGCAAAGCCATCGTCCAACGGCACGCACTGAGGCAGCTGCCCAAGGCGGTGATGTCGGCACGCAGCCCGAACATGCCTGGGAGTTGAAGGGATTTGATGACAGCGATGGAATGTGTCCGAGAAAATTTAGGGAGAATAAATGTAAAGCACCAAGACTAGGGGACAATTACCACTATACTTTAATTGCGTTGAGACAACAAGATAGAAGATATTCGACGTTGCAAAATTTGGGGTTGCCCGGAGCTATTTCAAGCGGAAGTTGGAGCATGTGATGCATGTGCACAGAGTAGATCTTGAACTGTCAATTTGCCTGTAAAATCTGTGAATTTGACTTCGGACTGGAATTGCCAATTTCGTGGTATTTGTAAAGGTTTTACGGTCAGACTGGACGATCCGAGTAAGAAGAATAAGGGGAATATCTTGAATCTTAGTATCTTGAAGATTCTTGAAGTATAATTGCAAACCAAAAGCGCATAGCCATACTACACTAGCCGGCGTGAATATGTTCTTCTATCATATCGCCGTTGAAATCGTTGAACAGGCGGTTTTTACCCCACCTTGCATGAGATCCAAGATCCTCAGCACCGCTGTCCACCGGCCCGCGCGCTCGCAGCGGCACTGCAGTGATCCCAGCACCGCGATGTGCGGCCGCGCCGAGGCGCGGCGCACATCCTCGAGGCTGCCCAGTGCGCTGGTCCAAGCGGCTCCCCGTAGGGAGGATGGACACATCAGCCATGGATCCGCAACCCTCCATGCGAACAACGGAACGAACCTAGGTCTTGATCCACGGAAAAATGAATAAAACATATAAAACTGGTGCAAGTAGAAGTCTTTGGACTCAGAAGTCATAAAATAGATGAAGATCTTAGCACACGTGACAAAAGTTGTTTGCTGATATTCAACTGTTCAAATGTTTGACACCAGGCCAAGATCGAGAAGATCCAGGTCTTTCCAATTTGCACTCCATTGAAACACAAGAACTCGTGGCCAGTCCTAAGCCGCTCCCGGAGCTTCTGGAAGCTGTCGTCTCCTCTGTCTTGCAAGATATTGCAAGCTCATGGGTTCCCAATGATTTCCATGTGAGCACTGTGCAACCCGGGATCTTCACCCAAATCTTCAATCTGTGTTCAATGCAAATAAAGTTGTTTGATGTTTGTTTAAATGGTTTGGTCCGAAGACAGCCCCCAACACCATGGTGTTATCACTTTGTCTAATCTATTTCACCGTGTCCTCAAGTTGCCCACCAGCCCTTCAAGCTCCTGCACCGAAGTCCTTTGCAAATTTGGCCTCGCAGCACATCTTTTGGGGCCATTTCTAGCGTTGTTTTCGATCAACCACGTTGATTAACTACTCAGATGGATGGATCTTTTTTAACCAATTGGATGAAGCCTTGGCAAACACAAGTTGTATCACCAAGAACCCGACGAACTCCGGGGCCGAAGCTTCATCATCCTTCACCTGGACTGAGTGTTGAACCACCATGTCACTATAATCACCAGCTGCAAACGAGGTCACAATAACCCATGATCCATGACTATCCAATGATTATCCAATAAATCCAATGAATCATAAATCGTATTAAATCCAGAGCCCCCTTTCATAGTGTATTAGTGGAATGATCTGAGGAAAAAAGGGTGTCTCTTTTTAGCGCATGTTTATTGTTGTCTCTGGCCCGTGTTCCCCGGGGCCTTCCGCCAGGTAGAAGCCAATATGCGTAGGATGAAGGTTTGCATCTCTTCCTGTCGCATGGCGGAGGTCCCTGGACAGATTCACTGTCGGGTTTCCTATCTTTGAAACTTCCGCCACCGCCTTGTGCGGTCCTGGGTCCCAATTCTCGGGTGTCCATCACTTTGACCCTGGAATCAGATGTTGTTTTTCAAGTTGGAATTCCATTGGTAAACCTTGCTGGTTCAGATGGTCTGAAACAGGCCCCAAGGGTCCAATCCCATATGGATACAACCCCCTCACCATGGACGAGACTGGAGATGTTGGTTTCTCTAAAAATAGGCACCCCTAAAAGTCCCTAGATATCCTAAATCCACTGCCACATCCAGCCTGGCTCTTCAGGGCTTGCACAAGTTGCAGCCCACTGTCGCAGAGTTCCGCCGATGCACCGGTCACTCCTAGTGCGGGCTGCGATTTTTTTCCCAGTAGCTCCAAATACATCCACAACCAGCAATTGTTATCATCAATTACAAGCACCATAAGTTACAATCAGTTATCATTATTGATGATAATGATTATATATGATTATATAAAACTATCGTTACCATAGGTTGTAAAAATATTTGATGATAATTGTTTGTTGTCTATACTTTCACCACTTTCACCTTTGGGATCCTTTTGGGGTTCACTAATTTCGTTGATTTCCAGTGAATTTCCAGTGGTCTCCATGGAGATCTTGTCGCACCTGAGCGTGCCAGGAGCTCCGGCACTTGCTCATCTTGTGGCTGTTGAGCCACCTCCGATCAGAAAGTTGGTTTTCACATGTTTTAACCATCAGATGATATCAAATGTGAACGTGCATGCTTGTTGCCAGGAATGGTGTGTAGGGGAACTCAGGGGCGCCAACATGTTTTAACAACTGTACCAAGATGTGACAAAGAATCATTTCCTGAGTAGGAAGATCCTCCAACACGCTCCACCTTCAACCGAATTTTAGCTGATGAAAGATGGTGCGACCCCTGAGATTGAGGTCCCCCTACTTCATCAATCCTGATGTCCTGCCCTGCATGGCACTTGTGGGCTCATTGACCCCTCCGAAGTCCCTGAGATCATGACCGAAAGATCCAAGCTGATCCTGACATGTCCCATTTGCTCTCTTCGGCCAATATGAAGCTTAGCCAGTGCTCAATACTTGGACTGTTGGAGTTCGATCTGCAACATGCCAGCGCAACGAAAGTTCTCCGATATGATCCTCCAGTGGCATTGACGGAGGCCTGAGGTACCGGTTTCTCTCGCAATGCCAATCATGCGGTTGCTTCGGTTGCAAAGTCTGCACACAAAATACCATGATGTATAAATTGGCATCGATGTCTAGGCAGCAACAGGAGATGTCCCTCTTGATGTGAAATGTATTAAAATGTTGTGAAAGCATGTGAAAGCTCAGTATTGGCGCAGCAAGCAGTAAGCTTTCACCCTGTTGTGCGCTTCTTCTCTGCTGTTGCTGGGCTGCTGGCATCCCACCCAAACTTTCGAGGTACACTGCCCTCGCAGTGATGTCCTCGGGAGGCTGGGGACTCGTTCTTTTATCCCCAAAAAAAGGATGATTCAAGAATCCTCAGCGTGGGGGTCATCGACGTGTTGGTCCTTAAAGGTCTTAAACCTCCTTGATAACTTTGATAACTTAACTTTCACTTTCAAGTGCCAAGGAAATCTACGGGTCTATGGTGCACGTGCGTATGCTGTGTCAATGCTACAGGGGTTTAAGGCGCTTGAATCACTGCGAAACGCCTGGGCATGACCCTCCAGTTCTTCGCGGTCTGCATCAGGGCAAATCTCTGCTGCCTGGAAAAAATGCGAAGGTTCCCAGGAGATCAGGAAAAAAAACACGTGAGTCTGAACCTAGGAACCCGGGAATCTGTGTTTAGCCCAACCCCCGCTTGCTTTTGGGGTAGCTATGCTGAGCCAAGTCCATCGGAGTCCGAGGCAAGCTGAAATGATTCACATCTTACTGAGAAGCTGCCAAGAGAAATATTCAGTTTGAATGACTTGGTGAATTTGCAACCCACATCATCAAAATCATCAACAAAGTCATTATCATTATCATTATCATTATCATTATCGTTATCATCATTATCATTATCATCATCATTATCATTATCATGATCATTATCATTATCATTATCATTGTCGTTATCATCATTATCATTATGATTATCATTATCATTATCATTATCGTTATCGTTATCGTTATCATCATTATCATTATCATTATCATTATCATTATCGTTATCATCATAATCATTATCATTATCATTATCATCATCATCATCATCACCTCACCTTCATCGGCTCACCTTCATCACCTTCACAATCACCGTCATCACCGGTCGATTAATTGTTTTCATCCCCAGGCCTCTTTGAATTTTGACGCAGCTCTGCTATGATGAAGAGCGGCCTGTGCCGACTGGCCCTGGCCTCCAGGCACACCAGAATTCAAGCCGAAGGAAAAATCAAAGGCGAAAAATCACTGCGGATCGATGTTTTTGCCCTCCAAAGTATTGAAACGACCTAGCGGAATTAAAATCTAATCAGCTACATTGTACAATTATACTATATACCATATACATATATATATATATATTTGTTTATATATTTATTTATTTATCACATGTATATATATATATACATATACATTCATGAGTTGTCTGTTCCAGCAAAAACTCATGATGTTCATTCTGCCGCGCAAAGGTCCAAACGGTCAAAATCGGCAGCCTTCTCCTGGATCCAGCGATGCTGTGAATTTGAGACTGCATGTCTCATACACATGCATAATTTACATGTAATACATCTAAATAATGTATATATATATATTTATATTTACTTATTTATTTACAGACATATTATATATATATATTATTATTATTATTAAATATTATATTATATTATATTATATTATATTATATTATATTATATATACATACATATATATATATTTGTGTATATATATATATATCAATACATACACATATACATATACATACACATATACATATACATATATATATATATATATACATATATACATATATATATATATATACATATATATACACACATATATGGTACAAACCTGCAACCCCACCCCCCCCCGTCATGGTCATGGTTCCCCGCCCCCCCCGTGGGAATGGGGGGTTCATCTCTCCCCTCCCCCCTGTGGGAAGTGGGGGGCCTCTTGTATGTATGTATGTGTGTATGTGTGTATGTATGTATGTATGTATGTATGTATGTATGTATGTAGGTATGCATGCATGCATGCATGCATGCATGGATGTGTGTGTGTGTGTGCACGTACGTACGTACGTACGTACGTACGTACGTAAAGTACGTAAAGTACGTAAGTAAGTAAGTAAGTAATTAAGTAAGTAAGCAAGCAAGCAAGCAAGTAAGTTAGTTAGTTAGTTAGGTTAAGTTCAGTTCAGTTAAGTTAAGTAAAGTAAAGTAAGTAAAATAAGTAAGTAAAGTAAGTAAGCAAAGTAAGTAAGTAAAGTCAGTAAAGTAAGTAAGTTAAGTAACTTAAGTAAGTTAAGTAAGTAAGTTAAATAAGTAAGTTAAGTAAGTTAAGTAAGTTAAGTAAGTTAAGTAAGTTAAGTAAGTAAAGAAAGTAAAGTAAGTAAAGTAAGTTAAGTAAGTTAAGTAAGTTAAGTAAGTTAAGTAGGTTAAGTAAGTTAAGTAAGTTAAGTAAGTTAAGTAAGTTAAGTAAGTAAAGAAAGTAAAGTAAGTAAAGTAAGTTAAGTAAGTTAAGTAAGTTAAGTAAGTTAAGTAGGTTAAGTAAGTTAAGTAAGTTAAGTAAGTTAAGTAAGTTAAGTAAGTAAAGAAAGTAAAGTAAGTAAAGTAAGTTAAGTAAGTTAAGTAAGTTAAGTAAGTTAAGTAGGTTAAGTAAGTTAAGTAAGTTAAGTAAGTTAAGTAAGTTAAGTAAGTTAAGTAAGTAAAGAAAGTACAGTAAGTAAAGTAAGTAAAGTAAGTAAAGAAAGTAAAGAACGTAAAGAAGGTCAAGAAAGTCAAGAAAGTCAAGAAAGTCAAGAAAGTCAAGAAAGTCAAGAAAGTCAAGAAAGTCAAGAAGGTGAAGAAGGTGAAGAAAGTGAAGAAAGCAAAGAAAGCAAAGAAAGCAAAGAAAGCAAAGAAAGCAAAGAAAGCAAAGAAAGCAAAGAACGTAAAGAAAGTAAAGAAAGTAAAGAAAGGAAAGAAACCAAAGTAAGTAGAGAAGGTAAAGTAAGTAGAGAAAGTAAAGCAAGTAGAGAAAGTAAAGAAAGTACAGAAAGTAAAGAAAGTAGAGAAAGTAAAGAAAGTAAAAAAATAAAGAAAGTAAAGAAAGTAAAGAAAGTCAAGAAAGTGAAGACAGTAAAAAAAGTAAAGAAAGTAAAGAAAGTAAAGAAAGTAAATAAAGTAAAGAAAAGAAAGTAAAGTAAAGTAAGCAGAGTAAGCAGAGTAAGCAGAGTAAGCAGAGTAAGCAGAGTAAGCAGAGTAAGCAGAGTAAGCAGAGTAAGCAGAGTAAGCAGAGTAGAGTAAGTAGAGTAAGTAGAGTAAGTAGAGTAAGTAGAGTAAGTAGAGTAAGTAGAGTAAGTAGAGTAAGTAGAGTAAGCAGAGTAAGCAGAGTAAGCAGAGTAAGCAGAGTAAGCAGAGTAAGCAGAGTAAGCAGAGTAAGCAGAGTAAGCGGAGTAAGTAGAGTAAGCAGAGTAAGTAGAGTAAGCAGAGTAAGTAGAGAGTAAGTAGCGTAAGTAGAGTAAGCAGAGTAAGCAGAGTAAGCAGAGTAAGCAGAGTAAGCAGAGTAAGCAGAGTAAGCAGAGTAAGCAGAGTAAGCAGAGTAAGCAGAGTAAGCAGAGTAAGCAGAGTAAGCAGAGTAAGCAGAGTAAGCAGAGTAAGCAGAGTAAGCAGAGGAAGCAGAGGAAGCAGAGGAAGCAGAGGAAGCAGAGGAAGCAGAGGAAGCAGAGGAAGCAGAGGAAGTAGAGGAAGTAGAGGAAGTAGAGGAAGTAGAGGAAGTAGAGGGAGTAGAGGAAGTAGAGGAAGTAGAGGAAGTAGAGGAAGTAGTTCTGTAGACGCTTGATGTTACGTTACAAGACCTGCTCTTGCACTTGCACAGACACTTGGTGTTACATTAATAGACCTTCTCTTGTTCTTGCACAAACACTTGAGGTGATAAGATCTTCTCTTGTACTTGCACACTTGCACAAACGCTTGGGCTTGGTGCTATGTTAAAAGATCTTCCCTCGTACTTGCACAGACACTTGATGCTACGTTACAGGGTGCTGGGCTACCGGGGAGGGGGCACCACCATCGGGGGGGGGTAGGTGGGGGGTAGCCAGCCTGGGGGACCATACCTTCGGGGGGGGGGGTACCGGGCCGCAGACCGGGACCATATACTGACTATATAACTTTTGCACATATACATATTATGTACAAGTTGATACAAGTTGTATCATAGATTATCATAGATTATCATAGACTATCATAGATTATCATAGATTATCATAGATGTTCATAGTATATCATATGCATAGCTTGTTTATATAATCCTTTTCGAGCTATTTGTTTATCTTCATTTTCTCTGGTGAATCATGTCACATTCCGTGAAGCTCCCAATGCGACATGTCTCCTCCGCCCGCAGCCCTTCCACGACCAGCCAGGCACATCGCCCTCAGGGTTTGTTGAGAAACTCGAAATCACGCAGAAAAAATGATTAACCAGTGGAGTAATGGAGATCAATAGAGATTATGAAGATGAGTTTAATGCAACGAAATGACTATGTAAGATTAACTATGATTAACTGATAAACCTTGTGGATTTCAGGTTCATCATGTGGATTTCGATGGGATACAAGGGTTCAATGGTGATATTTCATGGGATGTGGAG